ATTCCTTTATTCTGATGTTTCATTGCCCATAGGATCACCAAGAATGATATCTTTATAAACATAGAAAAAATCACTCGTATCTTCATGTTTAAAAAAGTGTATATGAGCATAGCTATATTAAATTAGAATCAGTGGATAAATTTTTTCAAAAAGTTAACATAAAAAACATAGAAATGCTTACCCAACACACTGTTTTTTTTTGAATATATGTTCAAATGGAAGTTTTAGTGTCTGCCGTAACCATATTTCAAGATCTTGTTCTTCAAGCATGTTAATATTTCCATATAACATCACAGATAATTCAGGATTTCTGCAACAGAGACATTCATTATATTTTGGAGCTAAAAAAAAGTAAGCAGTTAATTGACATGTGCTATGTAGTAAAGAAGAGAAGGTAGCATCTCGCAAAGAGACGATAAATAGCATCCCATCAAGGGAAGGTAGCATCTCGCAGAAGAGAAGGTAGATAGCATCCATCAAGGGAAGGTAGCATCTCGCAAGAGAAGATAGACAGCATCCCATCAAGAGAAGATAATATCTTGCAAAAGAGACGGTAGATAGCATCCCGTCAAGGGAAGGTAGCATCTCGCAAGAGAAGGTAGACAACATCCCATTAAGAGAAGATAGCATCTCGCAAAAGAGAAGGTAGATAGCATCCCTTCAAGAGAAGTAAAGGTATGCTTACCTGAATTCATTCTAGATTATTGAGTAAAAAAAAATTGACAGAAAAAAATTTGACGAAGAAATGTTTTATTTATATATATGATATTTAACGCGACTTTTTGTGATGTTTGTTGATAGAAATGTTTTATTTATATATAATGATATTTAACGCAACTTTTTACGTGACTTTTTGTGACATGTTTGTTGATAGAAATGTTTTAAATATATATTTAACGCGACTTTTTGTGACACGTTTGTAGATAGAAATGTTTTATTTTTATATATGATATTTAACGTGATATTTTACGTGACTTTTGGTGACACGTTTATTGATCTTTATTATTAGTCCGAAGTGTAATGTAGGACTATATATTTGATGCTTTATTCATATTTTTAAGTACTGTAATAGTCCAGGTACAGTCGCCGCAAAAAGTAACGCCCGATTTTTTTAAAAAATGAAATTTTTGATTTATTTCATTTCTGCTTTATATACATAAACATTTTTTTATCATTAACTAATACATTACCCACCCTCTATATGGCTTCAATATCACCTCGATTCCTTACGGCATCGAGCTCACATTCTATCCCAAACTAACACGTTATATTTTGACTACACTTTCTTTCAGAACATGTTTACAATTTTTGAAAAGCTTTTACATTTAGAATGTTATTTTGCAATGGTTTCTAGATGTTTTCTATGAAGCCAGGTCTGGGAGAATATGTTAATTGGTTCATAATCATTAATATTCCTATTTCGTGATCTTTTTAGAATTAGGATTAGAGTTAGGGTTAGAGTTAGAGTTAGAGTTAAGCTGAAACGTTATATTTTTTCAAATTAATGAGCATAATATATTATGAAAAAGGATAAAATTATCTTAAAGAATCTTTGAGTAAATTTATACAAAGATTTTTTGTTGACAGTATCACGAAATGGCTCAGGTTGTTTTTTTTGGCTTCTTGTAAATGTGCATTCTTTTTTTTGCTTGTTAATAGCTTGTAACCTTCCAGACCCTGGTAAATTTTCTTTTGTCCTATTTCTCTTGTATTTGGCAAGAGACTATTATCCCATCATCGAGTTACAGATCATTTTTCTTGTAACTTGTACGGTACTCAAAATCCCAATCCAAATTATCCATTTTACCCTTGTCAAAGTTGGTCAACTGGAGGTAATGTGTGTTATATTTACAGCCAACAAATTTTGTCTAGTGTATGTTCAAAAGTCGAAGAAAGAAATTTGCTGTCAACAATAACAAAAAGAGGAAAACCGCCATATTTAAATTTATGTTAATGTTGCACATCCAAATTGGGTGTTACTTTCTGTGGCGACTGTACATAAAAAGTGAATATGATTAGTCACATATGATTAAAAGATCTGTGATAGTTTCATCAATAGTTCAATAATATAATTGCGAAAAATATCAGCTGCCAAAAAATCTTGATAGAGGTGTCTCTTACAAACAATTGTCAAGAAAATTTCTGGTCCATATCAAAAGGTTCAAAGGCTTTTCACTTGTACCAGTTCTGTGTGCACAAAGTATTATAAGATTATTAATTATAAA